AAGTAGTCAAGATAGGAACAAACTAAGGGCATCATCGTGATCCTCTCGTCAATCCGCATCGAATGATATATATGTTGACCTCGAAAGGTCAAGGTCAAAGGTTGACCTCAGGTCACGTGACCTCGAGGTCATCATGTATATCATTCGATGCGTCTTGACGAGCTGAACACAATGAGACCATCCGCGCGGCTGTATCTTGTTCCTGTAAGGAGTTATTGGCAAAAAACCTTTGGTGACCTTTGATGACGTCACATGACCTTACAGCTGCCCAACAGCAAAACAGACCTCAATGTAGTGAAGGTTGATCGTATGTGAAGTCATGTATGGTATATGGGGCCATTCCGACCCGTTTTAGTGGTAAAAAAGGGAGTTGATTTTTCCCCCATTGACTTAAAATGGGGAGGTCGCGAAATTGACCTGACCTTAGGTCACCAACATCAAAATTCCGAGATATACAAATTGTAGCTACTAATGACCTAATAACATCCTGCGACTTTCAAAGGCCTCCGACATCTACTGTAGCTCTGGCACGGTGACAAAGTTGCAAAAAAGTGACTTGAGGTTGGGTCATTCAAAGTGACCTGGTGACCTGACCTTAAAAGTTAGGAGGTTCAAACTTGCACACCATGTGTAAAATTGATGAGGGAATAGTCATACCAAATTTCGCGGCGCTACGCGCCGCGGTTTTCCCGCTATCCGCGAAAAACCTCAGGGGGGGCGGATATCCGCCCCCCCCCGTCGGTGCGCGGGTTAATTTAGTGGTCGCCGCTTACTAATCATGCGGCATACACGCCGCACATAACCGCCAATGCCGCAACGCAGCTGAGATTTCGAAGTAATCATTTAGTCCCACCCAATCCCACCCAATATTTTTCGATGAAATTTGGTAGATATTCGTTTTCGCTCTTTCTGAACCGAGCGACATCACTTTCGTGCCAATTCATCAACTTTTTTGAAGGTGGGAGGGTCCCTTTAAAGCGCGTTACAGACATATTGCGCAGCACGAAGCACGAGAAGTGTACTGCTGTCAATTTAGCAGCACTTTGATTATCCAACTACAGTTTGATATTCAGGTTGCGTCGATTTCGCCCAAACTTGCCCCAGGGACCAAGTCTGACACGTTGAGCACGAATCTGGTGTCAGAAATCCGCTATTCTCAACCGATCACCCAAATTTACCGTTGTTGAGTTCGTCCATCTACAGATTGACAAACTCAGTAGGCGGAACTATGGTCATGAGTACCCAAATATAGGAACGTTCCCATTTTTGGGAACGGAGTTCCCAAATATGGGAACGGGCGTTCCCATTTATGAGAACGGAAGGCAATTTTTCGGCCGTTCTCCCACTAAAACTCAAAAGTGCATCACGTCTCAAAAAAGTGCACGCTGATTTAAGTGTCTACTAAATCTCCATAAAGTTATCTTTAATCTGACCGTGGAACAAGGAAATTGACCGTGGAATGATATTTTTAATGATTTTTTGAAAATGACAGAATGGTGGAAATATGGGTTATACGACACTTAACATGCAATTTTAAGGAAAATGAAGCATTTTTCAGTTTGAGGTAAAGTATAATAATTTTCGCCTGGTTATGAACTTTCATACTATCGACACCAGATGCTGACAAATGCAAGCGAAGACGCGGACGGTCCCGAGGTAATATTGTTGACTTTTGTGTCGGGGCGGACGACCGCGTGGAACGTGAGCGAATTTACCGAGCTACTGTTGTAAACTCAGTTTAAGCGGTTGAAAATTATCCAGCTGTATTTTATCATCCCGGAAAGACATATTTTATTTGGATGCTAGCTGTTTAGAGTTGTTTTATAAGGAGCGTCATGAGCGTGGTTTTTGTCTTCCGTGTTTCTAAGCGTGATCGTTTTGGGGGAATTTCTCTTATATAGCTCGCTCTTTGTGCCTTATTTATAATTTTTATGCTGATTTCGATAATTCCTCGTGCCCATCCTACCAGGCCTTTTGCCACTTACACTCATCAAGAAAGGAAAAAACTAGATTTTCATTGGGACTAGGTGTTTTGAGGGTGTAACATATTCAGCGTTCCCATTTTTGGATACTTCCTTGTACTCGTCAACTATCGGTGATAAACAGACAGGTGCTTGACATGTCTCCACCCTCAGCGCGGACGGTGGATATAGGTATGGAAGACCTTGTTGAACATCGCTGAGCGTTGTGAATTACGTAATCCTGCAGAGGGGGGCGTGCCCGCTGCGAGATCGACGGGAATAAAAGCGCAGAAGACCGGGCGAAACATGCGACGGTCTTGCCGGAAAGGTCATCTGATGATTGTTGCGTTAACAATAATTTGCGGCGTTGGACGTGATGCTTGTTAATGAAAAGAGCCCCTGAAAGGCGTCGGTGAAATCGTTCCCAATTTTGGGTACGCCGTTCCCATAATAAGGAACGCTTGCAGCGCCAGTGTACGAGAGCGTTCCCAAATTTGGGCTCGCGGCCCGGATGATGGACTGCTTTAGAAATAGGGGAACGATTTGAAACTACGATGGGCCTTACAATATCAAACTCTTTCCCAACAATATTGAGACAAATATCAGGCGGTTCACGATCGTTTTATATTTTTTGGACGTCATTTAACGGTTCTTTTTCTTGTTTTAAATAATGCCTACATGGCGTTCCCATATTTGGGTTTATCGTTCCCAAACATGGGAACGAAAATGCGTTCCCGAAAATGGGTACGCTTGACCATAGTTCCGCCTACTGAACTCCAGGGGCCATCGATTTCGCCCAAAAATGGGTCTAGGGGACCAAGTGTGACACGCTGAGCACGAATCTGGTGTCAGAAATCCGCTATTCTCAACCGATCACCCAAATTTACCGTTTTTGAGTTCGTCCATCTACAGATTGACAAACTCCAGGGGCCATCGATTTCGCCCAAAAATGGGTCTAGGGGACCAAGTGTGACACACTTAGCACGAATCTGGTGTCAGAAATCCGCTATTCTCGACCGATCACCCAAAGTTACCGTTTTTGAGTTCGTCCATCTACAGATTGACAAACTCCAGGGGCCATCGATTTCGCCCAAAAATGGGTCTAGGGGACTAAGTGTGACACGCTGAGCACGAATCTGGTGTCAGAAATCCGCTATTCTCAACCGATCACCCAAAATTACCGTTTTTGAGTTCGTCCATCTACAGATTTACAAACTCCAGGGGCCATCGATTTCGCCCAAAAATGGGTCTAGGGGACGAAGTGTGACACGCTGAGCACGAATCTGGTGTCAGAAATCCGCTATTCTCAACCGATCACCCAAATTTACCGTTTTTGAGTTCGTCCATCTACAGATTGACAAACTCCAGGGGCCATCGATTTGGCCCAAAAATGGGTCTAGGGGACCAAGTGTGACACGCTGAGCACGAATCTGGTGTCAGAAATCCGCTATTCTCGACCGATCACCCAAATTTACCGTTTTTGAGTTCGTCCATCTACAGATTGACAAACTCCATGGGCCATCGATTTGGCCCAAAAATGGGTCTAGGGGACCAAGTGTGACACGCTGAGCACGAATCTGGTGTCAAAAATCCGCTATTCTCAACCGATCACCCAAATTTACCGTTTTTGAGTTCGTCCATCTACAGATTGACAAACTCCAGGGGCCATCGATTTGGCCCAAAAATGGGTCTAGGGGACCAAGTCTGACACGCTGAGCACGAATCTGGTGTCAGAAATCCGCTATTCTCAACCGATCACCCAAATTTACCGTTTTGGAGTTCGTCCATCTACAGCTATTGACAAACTCCAGGGGCCATCGATTTGGCCCAAAAATGGGTCTAGGGGACCAAGTCTGACACGCTAAGCACGAATCTGGTGTCAGAAATCCGCTATTCACAACTGATCACCCAAATTTACCGTTTTTGAGTTCGTCCATCTACAGATTGACAAACTCCAGGGGTCATCGATTTGGCCCAAAAATAGGTCTAGGGGACCAAGTGTGACACGCTGAGCACGAGTCTGGTGTCAGAAATCCGCTATTCTCAACCGATCACCCAAATTTACCGTTTTTGAGTTCGTCCATCTACAGATGACAAACTCCGGCCAGGGGCCATCGATCCAGGGGCCATCCAGGGGCCATAAATTTGGGTGATCGGTCGACAATAGCGGATTTCTGACACCAGATTCGTGCTCAGCGTGTCAGACTTGGTCCCCTAGACCCATTTTTGGGCCAAATCGATGGCCCCTGGAGTTTGTCAATCTGTAGATGGACGAACTCAAAAACGGTAAATTTGGGTGATCGGTTGAGAATAGCGGATTTCTGACACCAGATTCGTGCTCAGCGTGTCAGACTTGGTCCCCTAGACCCATTTTTGGGCCAAATCGATGGCCCCTGGAGTTTGTCAATCTGTAGATGGACGAACTCAAAAACGGTTAATTTTGGTGATCGGTTGAGAATAGCGGATTTCTGACACCAGATTCGTGCTCAGAGTGTCACACTTGGTCCCCTAGACCCATTTTTGGGCCAAATCGATGGCCCCTGGAGTTTGTCAATCTGTAGATGGACGAACTCAAAAACGGTAAATTTTGGTGATCGGTTGAGAATAGCGGATTTCTGACACCAGATTCGTGCTCAGAGTGTCACACTTGGTCCCCTAGACCCATTTTTGGGCCAAATCGATGGCCCCTGGAGTTTGTCAATCTGTAGATGGACGAACTCAAAAACGGTAAATTTGGGTGATCGGTTGAGAATAGCGGATTCCTGACACCAGATTCGTGCTCAGCGTGTCAGACTTGGTCCCCTAGACCCATTTTTGGGCCAAATCGATGGCCCCTGGAGTTTGTCAATCTGTAGATGGACGAACTCAAAAACGGTAAATTTGGGTGATCGGTTGAGAATAGCGGATTTCTGACACCAGATTCGTGCTCAGCGTGTCAGACTTGGTCCCTGGGGCAAGTTTGGGCGAAATCGACGCACCCTGAATATCAAACTGTAGTTGGATAATCAAAGTGCTGCTAAATTGACAGCAGTGAGAAGTGTTGGCTGTTGGCTGCTGTTTCACACACACACGTTGTTTTAAATCTGAATCTATCAATATTTTTAATTTTATTCAGTTAAGTGCATTGTATGCTGAGCCTGAGATTCTTTTCTTGTGATATGATTCAGATTCTCCGGTAGTCCACCTCTCACGCTTGCTGTCACGCTGCCATTTGGACTTTGGAGTGGACTCAGACTGAGTTCAATAATGATTTTGTCACAATTACCTATTTATACAAAACAGGAAACAATATGTAGATATGCCATGGAATTACAACTAGGACTATCACTCATAGATATTTAACACATCATTTTGACTGATGAGCACTTGTTTAGGTACTAATTAAGACATTTTCATTGAAGTTTTCTTGGGTGTCGTAAAGTAGGTAGGCATCACACTTGTTTTTCATTTTGTTTTGCAACCAAGGAGAGGCGCTATACCAGATACCCAGGTATTTTTTCCAATCCAACCAAACCAAACCTAACCAAACCTGAATTAACCCTTCATTGTCATACAACCTAAAAAACTTACAACCTACAATCTAAAACCTAAAACCTACTAGGTACCCAAAACCTAAAACCTACAACCTACAACCAAACCTACAGCACCTCTCCTCGGTTGCAAGAAACAAGTGTGATGCCTGCTTTACTATTATTACCATTTTCTTTCCTTAGCTTGCTGTTGGCAGCCTTGGAAAATATTTGGATACTGTATAGGCATAGGTACTCTAAAAGGTAACCCAATTTAAAAGAAAATTTACTGAAATGTGGTCTCTTTTTAGTCATTTGTAATTGCGCAATTTGACTAAGACCAACGTCAAAGGCACACTTTTTAAATAGGTAAAGTTAGAAGTTTTCAATAGGTAGAGTAATGTAAAGAACAAGTGTTTTGAAGAGGCAGGGGAAAATTATCCAGTGCTTTTGGATTTGATTCTGGTCATTAGTGAGGAGAGGTGACAAGTCAGATGAAACCATATATTTGTTTCTGCTGTGATCTGCTCTCTGCAGTTGAATGAAGAACCCAACTGTGTTTCAAGTTAAGATAGGTAGGTATTATACAGTAGGTAATTCACTAAAGATACTAATCCAAAGATACTAATATATAATCACTAAAGATACTAATTCAGGATTTGGTATCTTTAGCCCTGGGCTTAGACTATCAGTTGGGTACTGGCCCTTAAGATAGCCATTATGTATCACCAAAAATGTGTAGCCTGCTTAATCTGCTTGGGCACTGTAATTATGTCCAAAAAAGTATTTCTTGAGCCACCATTCAAAAACTGTCAGCTGTCATAACCATGCCACTCTGTCATGATGTGACCTCTCCCATTTCCCATGTGTTGTAAGTGATACTTTTTAAGCTGTGTCCATTAGATATATTTTTGTTTTTGTGTGGTCAGCTGCACTCTGCAGGTTTCATTTGTCGACTATCTCGACTATCCTCAAGCAAAACAACATTTTTGCAGCTCTAGGTGATGTTCAGGTCAGTTAGCACCTGATGCTTTAACCTTTTTTTCTGCTCCATGCCATATGTTCCAGGACCAGCACTAGTGTGTGTGGCTATTGGTGAATCCTTCAGCCTGTTTTGCCATTGTCTGGACACGTAGGTACTTTCTGGCCAGTTATGTACGAGTGCGACGACGTGTTCACTCACTCGACCCACGAGCGTATCAGCCGGCTGGCGCACGAGCCGGGCCCGCCTCTCGACTGTCACACCGCCGCCAGTCTGGGCGACGGCGAGCTGGTGTTGCAGACGGCGCGCGAGCGTCCCGGCCAGCTGGACCGGCCCAACCGCGCCGGCTGGACGCCGCTCATGTACGCCTGCTACTACGGGCACGCGGCCGTGGTGCACTCGCTGCTGGCGTGCGGCGCCGACACGGCGGCCGCCGAGCCGCGCGGCCGCACCCCGCTGGCGCTCACCGCCTGCCGCGGACACGACGACGTGCTGCTCACGCTGCTCGGTCGCGGCGCCGACATCGAGTGCCGCGACGCGCGCGACTGGACACCGCTGCACCTGGCTACAGACGCTGGTCACCGCGCTACCGTGGAGCTGCTGCTGGCGGAGGGCGCCAACGCCAACGCGCTGGACCGACAGCGCGGCTACACGCCGCTGCTGCTGGCCGCCGCCGCGGGCCACGAGCTGATCGTGTTCGCTCTGATCCGTCACGGTGCTAACGTGCAGCTGCGTCTGCCGAGCGGCGCCAGCGCGCGCGAACTGGCCGAGACCGGTGGCCACGAGCGCGTCAGCCAGCTGCTAGCAGAGTACGACGCCAGCGAGCCGCCGACGCCCACAGCGCGGCCCGCCGACGGCGCGGCGTTCGCGGCGCTGCGCCGAGACGCGCCGCCGGCCGGGGCAGTGGACAGCGGCCGGACGGCGGCGGCATCCGATCAGCAGCAGCAGCAACAGCAGCAGCAGCAGCAGCCGGCCGACCTGGCGGCTCTGCTGGCCACCGTCGGCCTGCAGAAGTACCAGCCAGTGCTGGAGCGACAGGAGGTCGACCTGCAGGTCTTCCTGGTCATGACCGACGACGACCTCAAGGAGGCCGGCATCACGCTGCTCGGGCCGCGCCGCAAGATGACTAGCGCCATCGCGCGGTGGCACCGGAACGCTCCGCTCACGCCGGGCCCCGAGCGAGCGTACGCGGACCGCGTGGCGCGTGCCGGCGAGGCCAGTGAGCGCCGTCTGCGCGAGCTAGAGCAGCGCCGCCAGAGCTGCGACTGGACCGTCAGCCAGGAGCGGCAGCTGCGCGCGCTCACGGAGGGGCTGCTGGTGGAGGAGCGCCGACGGCTGTGCCGGCTGCAGGAGGGCTGCGCCGACCAGCTGCGGCTGGCCGCCGCGCTGGCGGCTGGGTTGGCGCGCCTGGGCGCCGCGCCGCCGACCGGGCCGCTGCCGGAGCCGGCCGCGCTCTGCCGGAGTCTGGAGGAGTCGACCGCCGGCCGGCAGCAGCTGCTGGACGGCTGCGCGCGGCTGGCGCTGCTGCAGCACCAGCTGACCGAACAGCTGCGCGACACCCTCAGCGGCATCTCGGGCAGGATGGAGCGGGCCACCAGCACCGGCTGACCGCAGCGACACCAGCGGCGACGTCACGAACCGACGGTGCGCGCTCTGACGGATAGACGGTGCCTTACACGTGAGTTCCTACGTTGATAGCGGTGACACTAGTCTGCTTTTTACTTATTTTGCAAGCGTTTAACGATCGATACTGTTTCTAGTCAGTTTGAGATCTCGTTTATGGCCAAGTGACCAAGTTTTTCATTAGAGGTAAAGTGGCAGTTCTTCTGAGGTTTTTTGCCCGTCTGCTTGGATGGTTTTCAGACGAAGCTATCTAGCTATAACTCTTGCCTTTCATTTCACTGATCTCACTTGTGATAGCACAGGACTACGCTGCATGTGTGGCAGTAGTTGAAACTGGGTGCATTTTTAGTGACATGGTTAGTTCCATTGTGCAATTGAGGATGACTTGTGGTTTTATGATGACATTTGTCTTATCGTGTCCGTTTGACGATTGAGGTGCAGTCTATACAAAACGTGTTTTTACACAATAAATGAAGCCGATATGTTACGATTGACAGTTTTATACCTTGTAGAGTTTATTCCATCCGACCATTTTCTTATGTGAGACCGTGAGGAATGAATTCGGGACCCTGAAGATTTTCTGCAAATTATACTGCAACTTGCCAATCTCAATCATGAAAAACGGCATCAGTCGATCACTATGCCTGCAGATGCTGGTTATCTTGGCGGTGTTTATTGTCTCGGCTATTTTATGTCATCAGTTACTCCCAACCCTCACATTTTCCTAGTGAGTAGGGATAGGAAACACTGCATGAAATGGCAGGCGTCCTGCCAGTTTGTTGATGTGGTAATTACTTCGCTGGGCAACCAATCCGAGCACCGTACCCATATCCTGACAACAGCTCTAATTAAACACAACATTGTACATTCGGACCTCCGTGTACACAATCACCATAAACCTGTCTGCCGTCTGTGAAACATGAGACGGTTGTGACAGTTACGCGGAGGCGCTCCGCCCGCCCCCGGCGCCGCCTCGCCACATGCCTGGCTGCGTGGCGGCTCGGCAGACTCACAGAGAAGCGGCTACCGCGCGCTGGCCACGCGCCGTGTCGTTTGGCAGAGCGGCACTCGCAGGAATCCAGGGCGGAGTCCGGCGGCGAGACGTGCTTCCAGATGTGACACCCTGTCCACGGGTCTGGTTACCAGCTCGCTAGTCCACAACGCCTGTAAGGATATATCCATGTCCCTTGTACAAGGCGACAGAGAGCCCAGCAGTGGTGTTCGGATCGTAACACATGGAAGTCAGTAGCGGCGAACACCTTCAATTAAGGGGGGCGGGGCGGGGCACTGCCGACTTTTGGTCCCATTCTTTCCATACAACGCCCATAGGGCTAATGTTAAAATGCCCTAATCAAAGGGGGGCACGGTGCCCCGGTGCCCTCCCCGTTCCGCCGCCTATGATGGAGGTGGGAGGGTGGGGGCGTTTTGATGCTCACACTGCTCATCGACCTTGTAGTGACAAGCGATGAGGGACGTTCAAAAGGTTATCAGAAATCATGACAAACTACACCTACTTGAGCCAGAAAATAAATATTAAATGCAGCGATGACCTTTCTGAAGTCATTGGTCTAACATCGCTATAAAACTGCTCAGCGCGGTGATCGTTTGATCGTTGTTAAATTTAGGTAAATTGGATTCATAAATTGTCCATCCTTTAGTTGCACCTCAATCATTATTAGGTCAGGTTTTCATGGGTCACCAAAGTCCTAATTTACCCGCGCACTGATGGGGGGGGGGGGGTGGGGGGGTGGGATAACCCAGTCCCAGGCCGGATGCTTTTCGTAAATTGCGGAAAAGCTGTGACGTAGAGCGCCGCGAAATTTTAGTTGTTCCTGTGTGGAAGACGGAAGTGGTGGCTTCCTATATTCCAAGGCACGTCACCAGGTCACATCGCTTTTTTTGCATGTTTGTAACCGTGTTGAAGGCACAGTAGATGACCGAGTCTTTTGAAAGTTGTAGGATGTAATAAAGCCGAGTGAGTCAACTACCTACAAGACGTATTCTCTCGGTGTCTATTTTTTCCGGCCGAGTGAGTGAACTTCCCCAGTAAACATGCCGACGTCGGCCCGACGTCGGGCCGAGGCTCGGCCCGACGTCGGCCCAACGTCGGTCTCGGCCCGACATCGGCTGGACGTCGGATATGCCCGCATGTTCCGACGTCCAGCCGAAGTCCAGCCGACGTCGAGCCGACGTCGGGCCGAGATCGTTTGCCGAGGTTGACGAGATCGTTTGTCGTTGGACCGACGGGGCCGACGTCGGCATGTTTATTGGGACAACGCGCCAAAAATATCAACCGGCGGCGGGATTCGAGCCCCCCAGTCGCCGACGTCGGCATGTTTACTGGGACAACACGCCAAAAGCATCATCCGGCGATGGGATTCGAACCCCGTGTCATTGGAACGCGAGGTTAGTGCGCTAACCACTACACCACGCAGCCAGCTAACGGATATGGTTTGTTTTGTTGTCTTATGCCCTTTCGGTCTGACAAGACCATTTCAGAGCCGGAAGGATTATAGGATGGAGACATTGGTCTTCTTGGCGAGCACCCTGGGTCCAGTTCATATAGAGTCCCTGGTCCCATTGCTGTTACGTGACACTTATTGGAAAGGGCGACCCCACAATGGATTCATAGCCACTCTTACACACCTGCACCAACGTTTCCCAAAGTGTCCCTTTGATAAGTGGCACTTTGGCAAAGTGACACTTGCCGACTACCCTTTCCATATGAACTGGGCCCGGCCCTGGTGAGTTGCCGGGGCTGAGCCTGACCAAAGGATAGGCCGAGCAGCCCCCAAGCACTCACCGCACCCGGCTACGGGCGAGCTCGGCTTACGGGCAATCCCAAATGGGATAAAGTTTCCCGTCCAGTCCGGATCAGGGGGTTGCGGCGTGGAGGAATATTTGAGTTTCCTGAGGATATTTTGAATACAGAAGCTCTTTATGAAACATGAAACATGTATTTTATATTATTTCAACGGTCAAAACAGCGGCCGATGTCGGTCCGACGTCGCCCCGACGTCAGCCCGACATCGGCTGGACCTCAGCAATTGATCTCGGTCCGACGTCGGCCCGACGTCGGCTGGACCTCGGCTGGACGTCGGAACATGCGGGCATATCGGACATCCAGCCGACGTCGTGCCGAGGTTGGACCGACGTCGGGCCGACGTCGGCATGCCGATGCCGAGTTGCCGACGTCACCCCGACGTCGGCCGACGTCGGGCCGACGTCGGCATGTTTACTGGGTTCCTACTTTGTGAGTGACCGGCAGTCAGTACCTGGCCCCTGAATTGTGCAAAGGGGTCACGCCTCTCCGGTCCTACACCAAAGAGTTCCGGCTGCAGCGGTGGTCACCGGCTGCGGTGCCTATATTTAGAGCCGGCGTACGGAGCCGTCACAGCGCCGTGGTGCTCCGCTCACACTAAAAAAATAGTACACCTGGGTTACATTTTTACCACCCGTCATGCAAGATATTTTTATCCGGTTTACACCAGTTTTAGGAGTACTTATACTCTTTTCCTAAAAAAGTGAGTGCAAAATTACACCTGGGTGCATTACTATTCCATTATATGGAATACAGAGGAAAGAGAAGTGTACTTTCACTCTTTCATACATTGTACGCTCTGTTTCATAGGGTGCATAAATACTCCACTAAGAGTTATTTTCAACGAAGCGTAATTTGACACCAATTGTCTAGTGTAATTCTACTCCATGATTGGTAAGCAGAGTATTTTTAGAACATATTCAGAGTAAAATTTCTATCTGAGACATAAAAATATACCGGGCGTCAGGAACGTCTGAAATAAAGCGTAAAAGCAAACCAGCATGGCGGTGGGGTGGAGTGAAATTACTCTTTGAAAGTTGATTTTGCACCTATATTTGTAAATTTGCACTATAGGTAGCACGTGCACGCTGCACATGGTTTCCGGTTGCCGCCATTTTCTGGTGTTTCAGTTTGCGGTTGGTTCTCACTGCTGCAGTGTAAAACGGTGATTTTGCGAAGAGCAACAAGTCGAACTGCGAAGGTAAGTCAAAGTGTGGATATTGAGATTGAGATGTGGTGTTAATTCAAATTAGTGTATTGCTATTTAGGGAAAATGATCCAGGAACGCAGCTAAGTGAGGTGTTCAATCAGGGATTTGGCTTCTATTTTAGGTTTGCAGGCTTCAGCTTCTGCTCAAAATTGTCATCTGTGACATCACAAATCAGTCTTTCCCTATTTACCAGGCCACATTTCTGTCTAGTAAATTTATTTTTTAATCTATCACAATAATGCTTAACCCTCGCCCGCACATGCCATTTTCCCATCCTAGAACGCACATGGGGGGGGGGGGGGTGGTGGTTGCCACCCCCCGCGCCATTTCGTTCCTGTTGGAGATAGAGCTTAGCAGTAAAGACCAAAAAGATTCTTTGGGAAGAGACGAATCCAATGATACCCAGTTTTACCTTCTCAGGTCAGTCATTGGCCTTCCAGGTCAGGTCAAACTAAAAAATGTTGCTGTTTTGGGTCACCGTTGGATATCAAGTGCGCTGCTTATCAGATACCGATGACGATGCTGTTTTCTGGTGCCAAGCCAGCTAGAACCTCTTTGTCACACTATCCAACCAGAATTTTGCTGCTGAGGTCATTTCAGGTCAAGTTAGGTCAAGGTCAATTATATGTGTTTGTATGTCTGTGTGTGTCTGTGTGTATACTGATGTGTGCACCGATTGTTTTTGGGTCCATAATATCACATGAAATCATGATCTGAAAAGCTTTTACCAAAAATGCAGTCAAAAAACTTCACAAAAAGTAAATTCAGTTTGCCTAAAACGCAATTATCTTAGATGACCTAGGTTGACCTTGACCCTGACCTTGACCCCTGTACATCGTCGAACAACATGTTCCATGATAGGTGGGAGGTAAGACTGGCAAAAAAGGCCGAAATCAGGGTGTCAAAAGCTCACAAGGCCCATGGCAAACGCAAGATGTTGAGAATTGGCCATTTGGGTCATGACATGACCTGAAAAACAAGGTCATATCTCCAAAACCAAAAATCACAGAAACTTGAAATTTTCAGTGGACATCAAGAAAGGATAGACGAGCAGCTATACGAAAAATCAGCCTTCTAGCTATAAAAATGTTGAGTGCAGAGCAAAAAGACTGCCTGGGGGTGGCAACCAACTATGTGCGGGCAACCCTATGTGCGGGCGAGGGTTAACCCTCGCCGGACCTATTGGTTTTCTACATACGCGCCGGCCGAGGGGGGGGGGGGCGGGTACGACCCCCCCTCGCCGTTTCGCCCCTGGTGGAGCTAGCGCGTCGCGGAAAAAACGAGCGTGTGCGCCGTTACGAGACGCAGAGATTGGTACCCGATTTTAAGGTCCTAGGTCAACCGGTGACCTCTGAGGTCAGGTCAAGTGCCCCAGGGTACGGTTCAGTTTTTGGTGAATAACTTCGCAAAAAACGGCCGCAGAGCGCCGATTTTGGCAGCATCGTGTTCGCCTTGCTCAGGCGCGTCGAATGATATACTTTTTGTCCGGGTCAGGTGAACTTGGGGTGTTGACCTCAGGTCAAGGTCAGGTCAGCACCCCCAGGTCACGAAGTTGGTCGAAAGAGGTCATGTCGCATATCATTCGATTCGGCAGGCCTTCCTGAGTCCATTGGTGCCTTTCCCGACTCGCTAGCTCAATTTGATCAAGAGTTATTGACGAAAAACTAATTTGACCTTGATGACGTCATAAATGACGTCACGCAAGGTCAACATTGCAAAAGTGACGCATCTAACCTTGCAAGGAGTGCATCAAATCACGATTCTGTGTGCTTGAGATAGTTGGAGATCGTTCCCGGCGCCAGAATAGCAGTTTGAATTTTTCCCCATTGACTTATAATGGTGAGGTCACGAAAATGACCTGACCTCATATGACCTTTAGGAAAAATCCGAGATATACAAGTTGTGGGACTCATAATGGATACTAGATCCTGCAAGTTTCATTTCCCTGTGACATCTCCTCTGGCAGTGAGGGCGTTGCGAAGTTGCGACATCTGAAGACCGTGCAGAGGTTCACTTATGACGTCATAGGTCAGTGACCTGACCTGACCCAAAAATGCGGTTGGTGTCAAAAGATTCGGCTTGGATCAAAGGTCAGGTATGCCAAGTTTCAGCTCTCTATCGCCAGCGTGTTCGGAGCTATCGCGAAAAAACCCTATGGGGGGGGGGGGCGGCACCACGTTTTAGGCATTTTTCAACGAACAAGTCCATCTAAATGGGACAAAATTAATAGAACATCCAAATTCCAAAATGGAGACTCTCACCACCAAATTGGGTTATATCGGCACCAGGAGACTTGTCCCACCAACTTTTCATGCATTTTTATTTTCGAAACCGGTTCGCAAGACATGTCGAATGTGTTGTGCGGTCAATCTAACTTTTCCAGTTTTCGAGTTACGGTTGCATTTATCCGGTAATGTCCGAAATAGTCAATTTTTGCCTGGGATTTCCTGTTAAGCGAAAAATGGTCGAGGCAACTTCATGAGTTGTGTTTATATATCACCGAGAGTATGGTTGTTCTGTATTAGCATGTCTTCTTTTACTTTTTGGCCTTCAAGCGTGGTATTCTCAATATCACAGTGCGATTTTCTTATCGTTGTATGTGTTTTTAAAGTTATGAATGTACGGGCTGCAGGCAGGATCATAGTTAGCAGGTGCCAAGTCCAACCTCCTGTTCCCCTCTTTTCAGCTATGGGAGGAACTGGCCCGGATAAGGGGCGTCGAAGAAGACGAGGCGCTGAAGAAGGAGGTAACTGAAGAGACGCGTCGGCTCTGCCAGGAGTTTGCCAGTCGACTGCTTCTAGGTCTTGATTCCAGACCGAACAGTGGTAAGTGTATAATCATTCCGTTATAGGAGCGTTCCAGGACAGATCACCAAGGCATGTACTTTAGGGTGGGGCGAAAAACACTTTTTGGAAAGTGCTAAGTACATCTAGTGAAAAACTTGGGCCATAGTTTCAAATGAACACATGCAAAATCTTAGCCGATCGGTCAAGCATAGACATGAGCGTATTTGCGATGGATGAAGATCTGCAAACGCTTTCAGGCGTTGCAGTCTCTAATGCTAAGGAGCCGTTGCGATTGGTGTGTAACACCGGAATAAAAGCGATTCGCGAGAAAAGACGAGATCAGTGGACTAATGATGGCGTATTTCATCAATACTGAATCCCACGGGCCGGCCCAGGGTCCCTTTATCATCAGCATGGATCCGGATCCCTGGATACAGGATCCGGATGTCTACATATATCCTTATATTAGTTTTCAAAGTCAATGTATAGGCTAATTGTTCATCCGTGTATGCCGAATCCTGGATCCAGTGGATGCCGAAACCTGGATTCACTGGATCCCAGGATCCAGAATCCAGGTAGCTACATTCGTTCATTTGCTGTGTCATCAGTGATAATGCAGATAGAAATTTGCGGTCCATTCCATTCGAGTATCAAGGGAGAAGGTGTGCTAAAGCCGGTGCCGTCCACATATTATCTGACATGGATCATCAATGGCTCATAATGAAGAGAGACAGAGAGAATCGAGCCGCTGAAGCTACAGTCAGTTCTGATGGCTACAATAAGTGTCCAGCTACATGACGGCTCAGGGCTCACCCTGACGGTAGTGCTGAAGCGGCACGAAGAAAACAACCTGTTCAAGGACTAGACACAAGCGGAATCCAGTCAGCCTCAGACTGAAAACGTATTTCATTTCAAGCCGGTGTATCGAAGGCAGCTGAACAGCTGAACCGTGTCGTTTGTGCTACCGGAAGCCGAAAGGCATCACCGCGCTGTTGGTCATATCGGCGCAAAGCGGCATGAGGACAACCAGCAGCTGACAGCAAATCCCCGCCCAATTCGAGAGGCTGGAGGATCCGCTGATATTGGCGAATGAAGCTGCTCTCAGTATCGAGGGCAAACGTTTGGCCAACCTGTTCTGCGAGAATTCGTACTTGCAGGCAAATTTCTATCTGCCTTATCACTGATGACACAGCAAATGAACGAATGTAGCTACCTGGATTCTGGTCCTGGGATCCACTGGATCCAGGTTTCGGCATCCACTGGATCCAGGATTCGGCATCCATGGATGAACAATTAGCCTATGCATTGGCCATTGACTTTGAAAATATAATATAAGGATGTATGTAGACACCCGGATCCTGTATCCAGGGATTCGTTAGATCCAGGATCCGGATCCATGTTAATGATAAAGGGACCCTGGGTCGGCCCGTGGGATTCAGTATTGATGAAATACGCCATCATTAGTCCACTGATCTCGTCTTTTCTCGCGAATCGCTTTTATTCCGGTGTTACACACCAATCGCAACGGCTTCTTAGCATTAGAGACTGCAACGCCTGAAAGCGTTTGCAGACCTTCATTCATCGCAAATGCGCTCATGTCTAGGCTTGACCGATCGGCTTAAGATTTTGCATGTGTTCATTTGAAACTATGGCCCAAGTTGTTCACTAGTTATACCTTGCACTTTCCGAAAAAAAGTGTTTTTCGCCCCACCCTAATGTACATACACCATGGCCCCTTCCAATTCGCTCAAATTTTGCACCTATGATGCCCTATATAGAACAAAAATTTTGACGTGGTTTTTAGCGCTCAGTCGCAAATGGAAAATGCCGATCGCTAAACGCTCGCGCTTGCGTTAAAGGGATATCTCGGAATAGGTTAAAGGGACCCTCCCACCTTCAAAAAAGTTAATGAATTGGCACGAAAGTGATGTCGCTCGGTTCAGAAAGAGCGAAAACGAATATCTACCAAATTTCATCGAAAAATATTCACCGGTTTTCAAGATATTAGACTTTTACTTTTGTTTACTTTTTGGGATCTCCGCTGTTCCTAGCGACTTTATTTGAAAGTGCGGCATTTGTTGCGCGCAAAGCAGCATATACCACCGCGTGCTACCAAACGTTTTAGTAAAAGATTTAAAAATCGTTAGATCTCCGCTGACGTCACAAATTCTAAGGGGGCATACCAATGCACTAGCCCCTTAGAATCCGAAAACTGCAAGTTTGAAATTCCATATCTCCGAATTAAAGCATTTGTCGATGTTGTGAGTGCCCAAACCGGTATTTGCAGGCCATGGCCACCAATTTGGCTATCTCAACTCAAAACTAATGTTAAGGTGGGAGTGTCCCTTTAACTGTTCCACGCCAGGTTATCCAGGAAAACGTTTTTAGTTATCCTCTGGATAGAAACTCCTCTTCCATCCTCCATTAAAACTTCTGCACCTTGGTGGATAGCGCAACGTTTAAAGTAGCATTGGAATCATCTATATTTCTCTCGCTTTTCACAGACGAAGAACTCATGTCGTTCCTCGCCCACGGCTGCGGCACCACGGTGGGGGAGCTGGCGGACCCCCGGAATGCGGTGAGATGCATTGAGGGTTCAGGATTGGAGGTTCAGGGAGCGGAACTCCCGCTTGATCAGGAGGCACCGCTGGCAGCTGTGGCCGCAGCAGCTGCGGCTCATGCGGTCTTCTACTGCCCATTCAGAGGGCCTTCCAAAACCCTGATGGAGGTCATCTATTATAGGGCGGTGAAAGGCAGGATTCCGCTCAGCAAGGCCGCGAAGACAGTGCTCGGTGTGGAAGTGTAGGAGTACAGTGTAGGAACGGTGTAGGAGTAGTTTCAGTGGATGTAGAGTTTAAAGGTACATTCCCGAAAAAAAACAATATCCCAGGTGCTGGAACTCACCTTTCGTATTTAAACGCTCCATCGTTTACCAAACAAATCTCGATCGCGGAATGTGAGCCCATCACCTCGATCACGGAATGTTAGCTCCATCACCTGGAATATATATTTTTTTTCTTCTGGGAATATATCTTCAAATAAAGTGGTGAACGCGAGTGTGCGAAACAAACACGCCAGTGTAATCGAGCTCGCGAACTCCCTGCCGTGATGATCACTGGAACTGTTCGCGGGTAGCCATAGCCAGGGCCATACAAAAGTGGCCACAGCCAGGATACTTACGTGTATTGTGTTGTACCGTCAACCAGGGTAACTTTGAACGCCTTTTCAGCGGTGGCGCATTGCGGCCGGTCGAGACGAGATTTTATCTCTCAGTTGAGCAGCTCCTCTCAACATGAGAGGCAAAATTCTGTCTCTGCCGGCCGCCAGGTGCCGCCACTGGAATGGCGTTCAGTTCAGTCACCTAGGCGTTCAAAGTGACCCCGGTTTACGGTACCTATTTTATTTTTATACGACTTCAGAGTCATCTTGTTTTACTCAAGTAGGTTATATATCAGAATAATATTTATCGGAGTAACTTGAGTGATAGGTACATATATATTCAAAAAAAAATATATGCAAATATTTCGACACACTTTGCGATAGTCTTTTTCAATGCAAATGGCACACAGTGCTAGTTTGTTAGGTACAACAAAAATCATCATTTTCCATGCGATCGATAGAGCCGGATCCTTCACTACGATTATCCCGCGCCCTGATGGGGGGGGGCCATTTTGGCCCCCCCCTGTGGTTTTTCTTAAATAGCGAGAAAACGGCGGCTCGCAGCGCCGCAAAATTTTGGGTACCTTACCGGGCATCAATTTGACACCTTCACACAAAATTTCAAGTCACAGGTCACCTCAGGTCAGGAGTTATTGAGGTCAAACTGAGGTCATGTTCGAGTAAAAATGAGCAAAAAACATGACATCTTGAAACGCTCACCAATTCTACAGTTAACAAGCAATTTTAAAGTTCTTTATGTGGTTGTGTAGAGAAAAGACGGCGCTACAAAACTGCTATCTCGGATTTTCGAAATTTTGGGATTTTGACCCCCAAAAATCAAAAAAATTGATTTTTTTAGAAAAACTCAAAAAATTTCCAAAATTTTTTTCGAATTTCGAAAAACCCGGAATATATGTGATAGTCCCTGCGCTCTTCGATATACATACCAAATTTTAGATCGATACCTCTTTTTTTGGCCAAGTTATAGCGAAAAAACTGTTAAAAATTGATGACGTCAAATTTTTGAACTCAATTTTTAGCAATTCTAGAGCTCGTAGCGCAAAACGGAGACCACCATTGAACTCCTCGTGACGAGCTGCATCGAATCGATACCCATTTTATGCAAAAATATCAACTTTGAAATTTGACCTAATTTGACCTGACCTTGACCTGACCTTGACCTGACCTTGACCAAAACGTGACCTAAGCTGGCCCTAAAGTCTGTCTGACCCACATAATCGCATTTGTCATGTAAAATGGACCATAAAACATGTATCACACGACACTTTCATATTGTGACCCCCCCAGTGACCTGACCTCTGTGACCTGACCTGGTATCAGTGACCTCAAATAGCAAAATATGTGTTTGAAGAACATTTCCCCATCGATGATTTTCAATGAAATGCATTTTACACGATTTTAAAACGCATTTCTTGAAATGCCTGTAAACGGTGAAAATTCGACCTTTGACCTGACCTGTGACGTCATCGGTTTGACCGAGGTTAATGAAATTGGGTCACAAGGTAGTTCCCCGTTGGGGCTATCCAACACCGTTTACCGCTTGTCGCTATGTTGCGTGGTTCTCGAGATCTGAGGGGGGGGGCCAAAATGGCCCCCCCCCCATCAGACCACGTTGCTCGGCAGACCCCATCTGGGCGCGGGTTATTAAACTAATTTATCACATCAGCGAAAACACTATATGTACACTCATAGACCACTATATATAGTGGTCTATGGTACACTATTTACTACCATATCTAAGTTTAAGTACCTGGACATGGACCTGGACAAGTACCTGCGACTGGAGTCACAGGTATATAAATTTAGATGTGGTAATTACGAGCGAGCGAGCGCAGCGAGCGAAGTGAGTCTTTTCAATATAACGGAAAAATCTCAGTATGAGCGGCCCGGCCCGGCCCGGCCCGGCCCGGCCCGGCCCGGCCTGTAACGCTTTTGAGAGGCTTATATCTCAGCAACCGCTGGACCGATTGGTCTGAGGTCTTTTTTGTTGGGTAGCCCCATCCCTTCTACCCCGTAATTGACCACTTTTGATACATCTCAGTGACCGTCGTGGCACGTGCCACGTGAAAAGTCAAGGGTGTTCAAGCTGTTTTGAAAAAGTAGTGATTTTGAGAGGCTCATATCTCAGCAGCCGCTTGGGCGATTGACTTGCGGTAATTTTTGTAGGGTAGCAGCATCCCTTCTACCCAAAATAGGATACTCTCGATGCATGTGGGTCACCCCCAGTGCACGTGCAAAATACAACAATAAGAGGTGCCAAATTTGTTCCCATTTCAGTAACTCGGTAATTACTGGGGCGATTTCGCTGAAACTTGGCATACAGGTAGGCACCCACCAGGCAATGCATTCCCATGTGTTGCGGTTAGGGTGCTACTGCACGTGCGCACGTGCAGGGGGCGTTTCCAGATCTCGAGAACGGCTGGGCCGATTGCGCTCAAATTTGGTACACGGTTGGGGACCAGTTAGTAGGGTGCCGTGCAAAAGTCATTTTGGACCCCATTTGCACGTGCGCACGTGCAGAATGCCGCTTCCAGATCTCAGGAACGGCTGGGCCGATTGCGTTCAAATTTGGCACACCGCTAGCGACCGGTTAGAAGGGTGCTTTGCGCAAGCCCGTTGGAAGTGCCCTCTCGCCCTTCCGCACGTGCAGGGCTCACTATCTCGCTCGCTCGTTCTTCGCCCAAAAGGCGTTTTACTGGTAGTAAATAGTGTAGTTTTCGCTGATGTGATAAATTAGTTTAATAAGCGTAGTGAAGGATCCGGCTCTATCGATCGCATGGGAAAATGATGATTTTTGTTGTGCCTAACAAACTAGCACTGTGTGCCATTTGCATTGAAAAAGACTACCGCAAAGTGTGTTGAAATATTTGCATGTATTTTTTTTTTTTAATATATATGTACCTATCACTCAAGTTACTCCGATGAATATTATTCTGATATTTTATTTTTGTTGAATATGCTATCGCAGCATCATATCGCAGCATATCATAGAAACACAGACGGCATATGAGTCCGTTTCAGTCCGTTGCAATGGTTGTGATAACGCACGTACATACCTTCAGGAGTTTACATGCACCATGTGATAAAGCTCAGAATAAACGGTCTTTCATTGAACTTGTTTCCTTTGCAACTCGATAAAAATCACGCGCAGAGTCTTCATATAGAATAGTATTCAATTTGTCGATCGTGCCGCCGTGCACTCACCTGCACTGCGCTTTATCACTTGTATCTGCTTGAATGACGTTTGTATAATATTTCAGGGGCTGTGAATTCTGTAATGCATGGTATGCAGTTGCACATCCCGAAGGCCTCACTGTAAACCAAATTGACAAGTCTTGTGTAATATAACCAATCATCTCTTGGTATGTTTACCAACTGATACTTTTCAAACAAGCCGTTGTCTGGTGCATTGCTTGTCAGATGACAACTACGAGTCAATAGTTACTATGCACACCAACTTCTCAGTATCCAGACCAACTCTACATTTGTTTCAACGTTTGTTTCTTAACCAGTTTTGGAAACTTGTTGCCGCATGGTTATTTAACCGGCGCCTAACTTGTACTGGTCAGCTGGTCAGCATACACATGGTCAGCTGCGCCCGTGACGTCAGACTTGGCGGACCAATCAGCGGTCGCCGTCCGGCCCCGGCGCGGCGGTTTCAAACCGTTCAAACCAGCAGTTGTCGCGCGGCCGCCGTGCAGCATGGATCAGCGACGAGGGCTGTTCCAGCATTTGTGCAGTAAAAAGTGAAATATGTGAACTGTGGTGTTCATGCTGTGAGTGAGGCCCGCTCTGGCCTGCGGGACGCACTAATCGTGCCTATACCCGCGGTCGAGACGCCTCCCTTCCCCTGCGCGCGCAATGTAAGTGGGCCAGACCTTTGCATGCACATGTGAGCAGATGTTTTGCGGTCGGTGTTTTTTATATATAAATACATTTATTTGCCTTTAATTCAACTCTTTGTATTTTTAACTTAACTGATGGACATATATGGGCTGTAAAAGCTAATCTGGTTGGCGATCATGCTTTATTCGAATTATCTGCGTGATCGTGCAACTGCCATGATTGTTATGGTCAATGTGGAAATATTCGTCATACGGGCATGTTATACTTCTGGCTTGATGCGATGCACAAAACCATGTTCTTCCACATACGCAGCAGTTCTTGCTTCAAAGACTTATATGCTGACGGTGCACGATAGGTATACCTTATACCTCATGCATTTACCACATCCATTCGAAAATATGCACTTGGAATTGTCTCCAGTCAATAGTATTAATTACATACTACGTGATGTAGGTACGTGACCGTAATAAATACTAATGATTCCAGAAACTTCCGAATGGATGTGGTGTATGCATTCATCGATTATATAACCCATCAGTATTTCGTTTCTTGTCAGCACAAGCCTTTGAGCAATAACTGATGCCAGTCATGATTTTGTGCACCACTTCCAGCCAAAAAATGACCTGTCCGTATAGAAAATATTTCCTGAATCAGTATCATGGCAATTGAAAACGAACGCGAATCGTAAGTTCTTAAGGTTATCAACGCAAACAAAGCGATTGTAAGGAAGAACAAGTTCGAACTGAGCGTTAGTACACTTACTTGTT